GGAAAGTCACAAGGATGTGTGTGCTCTGAATTGAGAGAAAGACAGAAGCAGTCACCAGCAGAAGGGATATGTGTAAAATCATGATGAAATTTAACCTTTTCTCTATAAAACGGGGTATCCATTGTGTGCCCACCCTGTGGCAGAAAGGCCTTTGCAGCCCTCACCCCGTGCACCCCACTCCCACCCCAGATCAAGCTCATACCTTAAGAGAGTTTTGCCAAAGAATTCTGAGAGACACAGTAATGGGAGTCCCCTGCTCTGTGAACACGAATTAATAGTGTCTTAGAAAGCTGAAACTGTAGGGAGTCCTAATAAAAAGCATCAGATTTGGGGTCAAGTGGACTAGGTTTGAATCTCAGCTGTCATTTTCTAGCCACGAGATCTTGGGCAAATCCCTTGCCTGCTCTGAGTCTGTTTCCACTTCTGTGATATCCATTCGACAAATATTTACTGAGGGCCTACTGTGTGCCATGCACGTTCTAGGTGCTGGAGTTAAGGGAGAGAACACAGCGTGGTCCCTGCTCTCACGGAGCTTACACTTTAGTGGAGGTGGGTAAAGGCAGGCAAGGGACAAATGGTGTATCGGGCAAAGATAAAAGCTCAGAAAAAAGTTGGGCAGGGTAAGGACACCGAGAGTGAATGGGAAGATGTTAGCGTGCTATTTTCTCCAGGTTATTCTAGAGAGCTTCTTTGAGAAGGTGACACTTCAGCAGAGACTTAAATGAAAAGAGGGAATAAAGCCTTGGATGACCCAGAGAGAACAACAGAACCTACCTGGGAGAGTCACTGTTAGGAGAAAATTATATAAGGTTTAAAATCCAACACCTGTAAGCACTCAATAAACATTACTATTATTATTATTAGTAGTAGTATTAGCTATAAGGAATGTTTAAATAAAACCCACTGGGAAACTTGAATTCACTATGTCCCCTTCATTTTGGGGGAGGTTATGACATGTCACAGCTTGGGAATTCACACTTTCTGGACTCTGTATTTACAGCTCATTAAAAAGCAAATTTCAACCCCGCCTAGGTTCTCAGGGCGCTGGCAGCCAACCATAATGAAGAAAAGAGTAACTCCAGGATCCTCCTGCAAGGGGAGGTCCGCCAAGTGTGATTTCTGACTGCCCAGCTCCCGGCGCAGGCAGGTTCAATTCCTTGCACTATGCTTTTCCATTGCCTAGAAAGGGCTCTGAGGGCCTCTTACCTCTGGGTAATGGGAAGATGGAAAAGAGAGGCTACAGTGGAACTGCATGAGGGCTCCAGGTCTTTGCTTCTTCATGCTGTGGTCAGGGGTTTGGAACATCAACATGTGTGGATGTGGGGGTGAGAGAGGAGAGAGAAGGGGAGAGACCCCCCCCCACACACACACACACACATCCTGACATCCTGACCTGGAATAATAGTGACACTCTTCCAGCTATTAAGAAACCCATTCTAAATGCCCAAATGTATGTGTCCAAGTTTAAGAATTGTAGCTCTTGATTTTTAGTTCCAGCTCCAGGATAACCAGCTGGCAGACACGGGGCTAGTCATGTTCTCCCTCTGAGCCTGCACCACGTTTAAGGGCTCAGGCCCCAGAGCAAATTACTCGTAGATCAAAGTTTGATTCTTAGCCCTGCATGAACTTGGGCACATTCCTTAACCTCTCTGAGCCTCATCTCTTCAATGGGCAATTTTAACAGTAAACCACACCCCATGAGGTAGCTAATGAGACAGAGTGTGCAGCATGGTGCATGGGACAAAGTAACTGCTCAGTAAGTACTAGATACCAGCGTTCTCATCTGCCAAACACCTGTCCTGCCCTCCTCAGTGGCTGTTCTAAAGATGAATCAAGGGATGAGCTAACAAAATGCTTGGGGATACAAATGGCACTTTGCACCTATAGGGTGTTGTTGTTAAATTAGCATCATGATTATTGCTTTGAATATTATGATACTGAGCAGGAGCTATTATTTTCATAAAAATGCTTCTCACAGTCTCTCGGGGTAATGAGTGATTGGATTTGAAAGGCTATCTTCCATGAAAAGAGGGGGAAAAAAAATAGCCACATTCTTGCTTTGAAAAGCGGAGCCTCCCAGCACTGAACAGAACAGATCCATTACTCAGGGAGGATTAATTAGCTGTCGGGTATTATTAAACGTTCTCACTCTCAAGGTTCACGTAGAACTGGAGACTCTGAAAGGGAGCGAGAGGTAATCATAGTATAGGAAAAAAGAAGAAGAAAAAAAAGCCACAATTGCTGGCAATGCAAATTTCAAGAGCAGAGCATGTTAGTAAATTATAGTCTGATTAATACCACGTCAGCTCATTCTCTGTTTGCAGTCATTGTTCTGAATCTATGGTCTCCGGGGTTGCCTGGTTTTTTTTTTTTTCTACCACTGGGACCAAAAAGGAAAGGCGGCTGGCCTGTTCAATGTTCACCTGGAAAGAAGGCTGGAATGGGGATGTTTACACTGAAATGCAGGCTATCTGAAAGCCGAGGAAGGTAGACGAAGTAAGATCAGATATGCGTATTTATGGCAAAGGTGTCTCCCCCAAGTTGGTACAATAGCTGTTGAAATGCCTGGGAAGAAACAGAGGCTCATAAAAACAACAGCTTGAAGGAGGCTTAGAGATGACAGAGTTCACTGACAACAGACCCCCTTGTCTCAGCCACCAGGGGCTCCTATTAAAGATGCAGGCTCCGCTGGACCAGCCAATTTGCTCAAGAGTATCGCTGGGGCTGGTTCCCGGGAATCTGCATTAGTAACTAGCACCATGGTCATAAGCAAGCAAAATCCAGAACTGGGATTTTCTAACTCAGCCCCACCTCGGGGCCCCTTCCATGTCTGATATGTCCAAGTCCCCTTCCTAACATCACTGTCTTACCATGGGGACTATCTCTGCTCTAGTGGAAATGTACACATAGGTCTTTTCTCCGCTTCCTCATGGGAATGGCATCTCCAAGGGCTAACCACAGATCTATGAAAGCCCATAGAATGCCAGGGACAACAGGAATTCATACCGGGGACTACAGGTGGCATCTGAGAAGGTCCGTCCACACCGCAAACAAGGGAAGGGAACGCGTGGGCAGAAGTTCATGTTGTAGACTTCCCAGTGGCACCTAACCCGTCTGTTTCCCACAGGCCCACACGTCCTGAGGGCTGAAAGACTCTCTTATTCCTTTTGCATCACCAGCACAGTGCTTGCTGCTTAGTAGGTATCAGTTAATAGTTTGTAGATTGAATACAACAGTATAAAAAGTATATGAACAAGAAAAGTGAATTTTCTCATATACATAGGCCTCCTAACAGCAGGGGCTAATAACAGCCACGATAGTGACAATGATGACAGTAATACTAAAACAACAGGAGGGAACTAAAATGATTGAGTACCTCCTGTGAGACACGCTGCACAGGCTAAGCTCTTTGTCACACACGAGATCACTGAATCCTCACAACAGTCCCCGGAGGTTGGCGTCTATCACCCCTGTTATGCAGATGCCACACTGGAGGCACGAGGAGTTTAAGTAGTTTGTCCAAGGTTACCCGATGGGGAGCGACGGAGCTAGAATTTGAACCCAGGACAGACTGATGTTCACACCCTCTCTTCTCCACAACCTCTGCGCATTTAGAGCACAGACCCAGTTTAAGGCGGGCTTGCATGGCAGTTCTCCAGGCTGAAGGCACAGGCTGACAAGAAGAAATAGAACAGCCCCAGGAGCTCAGCTGAAGACCAGGTACCGATTAGCACTGGGTAAACACGTGCCAGCCTAGCACGGTGGCCAGCAAAGAGTCTGTGCTCACAAGGCATCTGCTCAGGAAACAGATGAACAAATGCGCGGATGACTTCATGAACAAATAAATCAGCGAACTAATCAGGGGCACACAATGATCGTTCAATTCCCATAGCTGCTTCTAAACCTAGGGCGACCACCTCTTCTCCCCACATGTACTTCACTGCCTCCCTTCTCAGTTTTTGGTCTTCGGTGGAGCAGCTGGTGTCTGAAAGCACTTATTTAACATGGTTTGGAAAGTCCCTTGGGGATACGGTTGGTCCCCAACATGTGCCTGCTTCACTGCTCACATTGAACAAATCCAAAACTAAACTCATCTCCCAGCCGTGAACCATGTTAAACCACATCTAGAGAGCCTTCCGTTAAAAATCCGCTTTTAGAAATCCATTTTTGACACCATTTCGCCACGAGACCTCTCCTGGTCTCCCAGAACCAATGTAATTTCTCCCTCCTTTGATCAAACTACAACTCTCTCTGACTCTTGCTGCATTTATCTTCCTCTACGTAGTGTCATAATCATTTGTATATTAGTCCTACAAATCCTCTTTCCTTACTCGATTCTGCATTTCTGGAGGGCAGGAAGGAAGAAGCTACTCAGTCTAATATTAGACGTCGCTTTTTTGAGTCCCAGCCATGGAGTAAGGGCTTTCCACCCTCATTTCATCTTATCCTCATAAATCCACGGGCAGTAAGTATGGTGTTCACCGTGTTGCCGATGGAGAAATGAAAACAACTTGCATGACTCCGAAAGCTCAAAACGGTTAAGTGGCTACGTAAGAGTTTGGTTAAGTGGCAGAATTCGAACCCAGACCTGTTGGATTCAGGAGTTCATGTTCTGAACCACAACTTTCCTCCCACTTTCCATCTGGGTAGTCTCATCCCCTGTACCCTGAGGAAAGAAGATGTGCAAGACATTGCAGATAATGTGAACAGGCAGAGGCTAAGCATCTAGCAACGTGTGGAAGTGACCACATCGGTAAGTCTTCGGGGACAAAAGGAAAGGCACAGATTTGTTGTCATTGGAGCTTGCTACCTGTCCTGCTCCTCCATCTGCTGCCAGAGACTCAGGTAGGTGGGGGTCTCTGCTGGATCTCCCTCCATCACACATTTTACTTGCAACCCACAGCAGCAGCCAGCACGTGGCCAACGTTAGGACCCCTGCCCCTGCCCCTGGTGGCCAAGGGAGCAGAACAAACGGGACGAAAACCAGTTGCTGGACTCACCCGCAAGGTTGTGATGGTGGCAGGGTCTCGAAGCCGGCCCTCCTCATCTTTCAGGTTGTAGCCTTCTGGTCTTTTATCACGTTCGCTGACTTTCCACAGCTTCACAGTTTTATCTGTGGAGGGCAACCAGAGGAAATCAGCATGACACAGCTGGAAAGCTTGTAAAGGAGGGTGTTTTTTTTTTGGGGGGGGGGTAGTGGTGCAGGGACAGGTGGAGGTAATGATGGAAGAAACTGCTACAGAAAGTGGCTCATGTCAAGGGCTTCGGTGCATAAATCTCGTGTCACCTAAAGGCAGAGCTCCTGTTTCAAAGCCAAAACATATCGTGTGGAGACAAATCATTTCCCTGACAATAGGCTGTTAAACATATATTTTTTAAATCATTAATTTTGTTCATGCCAAATAAATATTTATTGAACACTGAATAACAAGCATAGCCACATATATGGAATTAACTATGTTAGCATGTTGCATGGAAAATTTAATATTCACAATCACTCTGAGAGATAGGCACTATTGTCCCCATTTTCGTGTCCCATCTCATCAAACATTGTCCTCACCATGACTTGAAAGGTCTTCCGTGACCTACACCCCCTTTTTCCTCGCCCTGTCTGATCTCACTGTCCGCCCCACATCCTGCCACTCCCTGTGACCCTGCAACACGGCTTCCTTACAGGTCCCTGTACATGTTAATCACACTCCTGCCCCAGGGCTTTTGCACTAGCTGTGCCTTCTGCCAGGAAAGCTCTTCACTCTCTTTTTCACGTGATTTGTTCCTTTACGTTGCTCTATGTCCTAACCTCAGTGGGGCCTTTCCTGACCAACCTACACAGAAAAGTTTCCTTCATCATTCTCTAGCCCCCTCTTCCTCCTTTTCCCCCCCAGAGTCTAACTTTTCACTACCGGACAACTTATTACGTTTCCCTCACTAGAATGTAAACATCAATATAGACAGCAGGGATTCTGTCTGACTTATTCATCACTATACCTCCTGCACTGACAGCAGTGCCTGGGACATGGTAGATGTTTGAGGAATACGAGTTGGACGAATGAATGAATGGCACTTACACAGTGCACATTGCCAGCAATACTCATGGAAATAAAATGGTCAAGAGAGTCATCAGAATGCTCCTTTCCCCTCGCAGCCTCCTTGAGTCCCCAGCTGGAAACTACCTTTCTCACCTCTGGACGGTTCCCACACTTTACAGCACTTGCTGACACCTGTCATTCTCGACAGCAGTAAAACAGGGGTGAGAACTCCAGTGCCTCTAGGGGTCAGGCAGGCTGGGGTGATGAGTGACAGGGGCTGGGGGCTCTGGGGAGCTGGAGAAGGCCTGCCCCACCTGCGGGCCTTTAAGTTCATTTTAGAAAGAAACATGTTCGGGCCAAACAGATCAAGCCTGTGGGCCGCAGGCCTTCAGAGGCCTTCCTTATCAGATCCTGCATTCATTATTTGTACGTGTTCTAACTTCTCTTCTGGAAGGCAGGGTCCCAGGTGCCTTCTTTGTATCTTCCTCTGTGCCTGCACAAGGTAAGCTTGGACCCAGGCGACCTTGGGCCCTGTCCCCACGCCAAGTCCAGTCAGCCACGCGGCCCAGGACTGCGATTCCCACGCTAGGTGCTGAACTAGTATTTTTTGAGTGACAAACAAATGGGAGTCCCAGATTTAGCCGGGAAAATAACTACAGAATGCCCAGTTACATTTGAATTTCAGATAAACAACGAATGCTTTTTTAGTCTAACTCTGTCCCAAATACCCCAACTTTGTAAATACATTGAACTTTTCAATGTCTCAGTTTCTTTATTTGTAAAATAAGGAAAACGGTGTCTTCCTCATGGGGCTCTTACGAGGATTAGATGAAACACT